TAACAGTCATTCTGCTGTAGTTGATCTCAAAGTATAAATAGGATCAATCGGAATCATGAAACGGATCCTGTACCAAAAACTGTTTAAAAAAACAACAAAAAAAAACTATTATTGTCCCAATTTCGAATCTGCGGGAGAAAAGTCTCACTACGCGGGAGGTGAGGACTGAATTAGGCAGAGACTTGGTATGTCTGCATTATGGGCTTTAAAACAATCGAATGATATCTTCTATCCATTTAGTATAGTCTAGTGCATTTACGTTAATCATTTTTGTAACCTGAATTTTGATGGTTATTTAGTAAAATTGATTTTAAACATAGAATCGTCCTCTATTTAAAGGGGGAGGGGAACAAATAATTTTTTATAATTTTTCTTTACTGTTTTTTAGCCCTTAAGTATCTTTCAAATATCTTTTCAGAATATGGCTCGTGACAGTTCTTCTTACCTTGCCGCGCATCTCCTTTCTGTGGCAAGCTTTTTAAAGGACTAGTCGATAACACAACTCCAACTTGTCTGTAAAGTCCTGATATCTCAAAATCCTGTCCCCCGGTGGGACAGCGCTAAAATCCGGGGTTCGTTTTCCCGCAGTGGACATGGCGGATAAACTAATGTGACTTTGTTCTAAAACAAACAAGCTCAAAATCCTCCTACTATCGAAAAAAAAACAAACAAACAAACTTATTTTACAGGAGATATCTACCATGACGTGAATCCCTAAGAACAAAGAAATGTATATTTGCTCCTTTACTTAATTTAGAAAAGCGATTGGTGTGCCTTACATTGATAAACAATTTGAATTAATGACTAAATTAGGGCAAAAAGTAAGTGAACATATTTGTACCTGCTACGAGTTGCAAGAAAGACCCTAAAAGTGGATGTCTGAAAAGCGCATTTTTTCACATTTTTTTTTTTTTCAGGACTATGATGGTAAAAGCGTAAATGTGGGAATTGTGTGTGATGAGGTACGTCATTGCTTAGGAGAAGGAATAGAGGGTTTAAGACATCGGGTATGCTTTGTAGTAAATTGGGCGTATATTTTAAACAGAATAATAGAACTTGGAAGTAATTAGGAGAGGTAATTGAAATAAAGGAAATCCCCCAAAATACTAGGTTCTACTCCATCAAGAAAACGAATTCGCTATTATTCCTCATGAAATATCTTGCCCATTTTTTCTCCATAGCTTAATTTCCTCCACAAATGAGGGACTTGCCCCCAATCTGGCAATCCTATTTTCAACTATTAATAAGTAAGTTCTGTTTATCTTATCAAGAGAACCTGGGATCTAAA